ACGCGATATTCACACTCCGCAGTAGTCGTGAAATATGTTTTTCACTAGCGTTTTTCATATCACTAGGGTGAAACTCCAATACTTATAATAGTAGTTAATAATATATACATTTTTGCTCAAATAGAAACATCAACCTAAAAAACCCTACAAAATCAAACAGTACGATTTTCCTCGGAAGAATCGAAACCAGCTTCTGATGTGTCTATTTGAGTAAAAATGTATATATTATAAGCTACTCTCGCACATATACGTAGTATCGCGAAATATACATGTATTGGATATCCTTACACCAACAGATTTTCATGTAAAGTGCGGTGAATTCGTGCATGCGAAACGGGGCTGAGTTTTTCTGCTCGTTTCAGGTTGATGATTTCGACAGATCACACGGAGGTTTTCGTGTCCCTCGCAAATGATGATGAGAAAAGGGCAGTTATAGAACCCCCGTGAGTTGAGGAAATTATGGTTGGATAGGGACTGAGATACATGGGCGTTTTGAGGGCGAAAATCATCGGAGTTTTTTCTCTCTGTGTGTAAACCGAATTTACGTCTAACATGGTTACACTGCCCGATAGTGATGATGATAGTATATATTGTGATAAGAGGAGGTTGCGTGGCGGTTTACCCGTTTATCGTGAAGTGGCGTAGTGCTCGATGTTAACTATAGGCATATATTTTTCATCGAGTGAAATAAAAAATGTTTTTTTAATGTCACGGGTGGAACTCCACTGTATTTTGAAGTTTATCGTATTAGCATGGATATGGTTCTACCATAGTGTGCTAAGGAGTGTATAGTCTCATTATAGATACGACCAGGTGCTTTACAAGATTGTTTTCCGACATGCAGGGTGAGATGGATGTTGGTCGCGAGTTCGATCCCGGCATGGTGCATTTTTGTGTAGATTTAGTTGGGCTATTTTCCGTTTACCCTCGGAGCTGTGGACGTTGAATATGAATATGTATGTATTTCACCCGGCACAGTCGAACGATCTGCCCTATTTATCGTGGATGCAGGTATTGCAATTTTGGGAGTGGCGTAAAACTCTGTGAAAAACGCGATATTCGCGGTGATATGCAGTAGTCGTGAAATATATTTTCACTAGTGTTTTTCATATCACTAGGGTGAAACTCCATTGTGAAAAAGTGAAGGCTCTCATCTCGCTGCGTTGATAGTAGCTGTTGAGAATTGATATCTATAGAGAGTTGAATATAAAGTTTTTCGTATTTTGCAGGTGTTAGGACTGTCTGGAAAATCAAAGGAGCCTGCTGTTGACATAGTAGTAGATTCGGCTGCTGGAGGATGGAAGCCGACATTGGAAGGGGTTAAGGAAGAGGAGGAGGAGGAGGAGGTAGAGATGAAGTGACGATGGTGTGGTATGGGAAAGGGAAATATTGTGATATTTTTAATGGTAGCGCTTAGTACTGTGTTGAAGTTGAATGGAAATGTGTGTAGGAGATCAGGGTCTGCTATGTGTGAGTAGGAAAATCGTATGCAGATGGACCACAGCATGTTACTATAATATTTATAGCAATACTTATATTGTATCTATGGAATCATTTTATTTTTCATTGAAAACAACGCGAATTTATTTCATATTTTCATGCAAATAGAAATGTATTGTGAAATTTACGGCTTACTATAGTTGCATCATCTCAGGCTGATTCGGCATACAGCGATCTCAACGAATTTTCTCTTACCATACCGCCCTCAGTGGTTGTCGACGATGACCATATGTCCTTCCATAATTCTGATGCGGAAGTTGGGAATAATGTGAGCGGAGCGAAGCGTTTCATGAATTGATAATTTATGAGGGGATTGTTAGAATGCAGCGGCCGTCAAAGCAGCTTCGTCTTCGCCTTCGGCGCGCAAGTGGACTCGTCGTCGGCAGGGAAGTGTGATGCCTGGTAATTGTGATGGAAAAATATGCGTTATATTTGTGAAAATTTTTGTGAAAATTTTTGGGAAAATTTTTTTGTGAAAAATTTTGTGAAAATTTTTGGAAATTTTCTTTTGGGAAAATTTTTTTGTGAAAAATTTTGTGAAAATTTTTAGGAAAAATTTTTTGGGAAAATTTTTGGGAAAATTTGGGAAAATTTGGGAAAATTGTGATTCTCATTGGTTTCTGTACACTTCTACCCAAATTCGTATGCAAGGTTGTATAACTAGTGAGGAAACTTTTGGACTTAGCTGAGGAAAGGATGCATGAATTTCAATACTGCTGTTAATGGTGATAGATGATGCCAGTGTTGGAATATATATAATTTTTTTCATTTTTTTTTGTATACCGCTTTAAAAATGCCATTACCGGGGATCGAACCACGTGTCACTAGCCGTCATCGTGTCTTCTGATGGATTTTGTCATGTCTTAGATGACGGTCCTCGACGGCAAACGGAGTTGTGCCGTTCTATTGCAAACTGGCTGGCGGCAGCAGCAAACAATCGAAAGCTGCGGCGGAGCGATGTAAGTTTTGTTTTGCATTTTCGTCGTTTTGGCGAGCTCTCACTGTAGGCGTTTTCGTTGTTTGCTGAGGTTTCAGCTGTCAGCTTTGAACGGGATGGTCAGCATAAGCGGATTGAAAGTTACGGGTGAGATTGGGAGGGAAATTTTTTGATTTTTTTTGGCGGAAAATTTTTCGTTTGACGAAAACACAGCGGAAATCGGGAATTTTTTCAGTGCGGGAAGTTTTTGCGATAAAAAATTTCAATGCCTTCATATGGAGGTATTATTCATATATTATTATATATTATATTTTATATATGTAAATGAGATTATCCCATAAAAATTATAAACTAAATTGCGGAGCGAGCGGAGCATATACCGCAACAACAGGCACTTTCGCGTTGTGCGTGCGTGCAGAATTATTCTGGCTTAACTACGAAGCGTAGGAGGCTATCAGATAGAACAAACTCCTCTGTATGCGGAGGTGTTGGGAAGAATCGGAAAACTCGATTATGCGAACAGTTTGAAGAGATATGCACGAAAAACTTTAATGATGGAGAAATGTCCTAACCGGGGATCGAACCGGGGACCTATGTAAATTCACTGAGTCCATGGACGTGGACTCGGTGAGCTCCGCCCCTTCGTCACGAAGGCTTAGTATAACATTATGAGTTGGTATACATTGGAGTTTCACCCGTGATGCGAAAAACACTAGTGAAAAACACATTTCACATTTCACTTCGCGAATATCACGTTTTTCACGTGGAGTATTACGCCACTTCGCG